CAATGAACACACGCGAAAGTCATCCGGCAAATGCGTTATTCCTGAAAATGGAGGAAATGTCATAACTGACAGTGAGCGTAATCATGGAGAGATGTGTCCCTGGAATTATGTTATAGATTTTGACGAGAATAGATTCCCTAAAAGATTGGCAAAAGCCGTTTGCCAGTGCGAGCATTGTCATAGGGGATCGTGTCGCCCTATACATTCATATATTCCAATTTTAAGGAAAGAGTGTGATTTATATTCTGGTCAATATGTGTTTAACAAGTATATAGAGGAAGTGCCTGTTGGTTGTCGATGTACTCGCGCTAGAACAACATCGCAAGAAAATATTTTTAGACATCGTTTGTACAGGATACAAGAGTAAGCTACCACCCGAGGAGAAGCAATATTAACAGTTTGTTTGTTTATTTGTTACGTTAAATAATGTGTATAGTGTTTATCCTGCTCTAGTCTTAAAATTGTGCTACAATTCCATCTTTTTACTCGATTTATTTGTAATGTCAACACTTTTGTTATCTTTATTTTGTAATTATATCTCTTTACGTTCCATTTTACAAATATACAAAGGAATAAAGAATGTTAAGCAAATATCAAAATTAGTGTTTATTTGATTATATGTAATCATTGCATTGCATGATGTTCAAACTCGGTTCAAGGGTCTATTCATTAGAAAAAACTGAAAGGTACAATATCTCTTAAGCCCCTTTGCACCTGCTTAAGCAATATTCAATCTTCCAAAGAATTGTAATCAATTATCTCAAAAGACCGGATAAAGATATATGATAAGCATCGAAATGACTTAAGTGAAAAGTTTTTAAAGCTTTCAAACTTGTTCATATTATTTCAACGTGGTCTCAATTAAACAATATCTAATTTTGAAACAAAGGTTATTTTGGTAATTTTAAAAGTAAAAATCTATAAAAACAAACAATAAGCTATCCTTAATCTGCTGAATGCATTAAACAACTTGTGAAACTCCCATGTTTTGACGTGTCAAAGATGGAAATATGTTGGTCATTTAGCCAATAGCCTGGTCAGATACTACGATTTTGCAAGCTTGTATGACTCTTTACAGGAGACAAATTATTATAAAGGACGCTTTATAAGATTAAGGATTAACATTTGTTCTTTATATCTTATTTATGGCATCAGTTTAAACACATTCACTTGGAAAGCTAGGAAATTCTATTTCGATCAAAAACAATCAGTACAAAAACATTTCTAAGGTCGGATGACTCCGATTTTTATACCTAGTAAGAAATACAATTTCATTACAACAATTAAAACACTTTCCTTTTTTAGATGTTTCAAAGCAAGGAGTAGCATTTTTATGTTGAAACTAAAAGGACCAATAATACATGTAAATACATGTAAATCAAAGCTGGAATCAATGGCTATGAAAATCAATGACTGTGAAACAATGATATTTAAATTCAAACTTAAATGTTTTAGGATCGGTAAAATTTCCGCATCACAAACATGTTTATATATGTCTGATTATGTGTATATATTTATACACTGTTAAAATAGAGAAAAACAGAGTCCTTAAAGAAAGCCCAACACGGCAAAATTGAAAAAGTTTGGTTTGATTGAGCCTGTTCATGGACGGTACTGGAAAGTGCAAGTTACCTTCCACGACCCATATCACCGACTTAAGCAGAATTCACCATTTAAACACGAAAATGGTGAAATTTTGAATTCAGAAACATCCGCCAAATAAAAGAATGCGTGTGACCTAAACGAGAAAACAATGGGCGGAACTATTTGAAAGGGGATATGAGGTTATGAAGTCTGTATATCACATACTTTACGTCGAAAGACAATTTAAAAAGCAGGCAACATATCCTAAGGGTGATTATACAGTATTCAAGTAGAAATACTGGAACCACCCAAGTTGAAAGAGACCAAAAGGAAGAAACTAAAAATACCACATATCATGTATACACAACAATTATGTCGTGCCAAACGATCTTCTAGGATCGAAAATATAAAATCTTTTATTAAATGTACGGGGAGACTTTTTACAGCCGTGTATTGTACTGACCGACGTTAAAATTTTACATTTGTTTTAATATTTTAAGTAGTTACTGTAACAGAAAGTCAAACAGACATATACACTGTATTTTACAAATTACATTTACATATATTGAATTCATATATGATATATATCCACCCTAAATGTTATTTTCAAGTATTATTAAAAGAAAAACATTTTCATCAAGACATTGGGTGATACATGACATAACACATTCTATACATTCGGCTCATGTATCATCGTACAATCCCTGAGGTTTTCATCTTAAGTGTACGTTTAGATTTCAAAGATCTTTTAAAAGATATATGTATTAAGTCGGATGTTATAACATATATTAAATGAATACTTTCATGTTTTTGTAAATATTAGCAACATGTCAATTAAATCATTGACAACACTAAAATTAATAAGTACTAAATTGTAAATTGTAAATAAGTCTCAGAAATTCATAAATAAATGAATGATAATTTTTTACACAATGCTTAAAATATGACAGATTGAGAAGATTCGCTTTCTTTATCTGGAAAATTTTATAAATAAGATTGCAGTGTCAGCTATGGTGTGTGGTCAGAACTCGGCAGCGAAAGATGCCTTACATGCCTTAACAGGCGGATTGGCCCTAAATAACGCCTAGAATAGCTGAAAAGCTCTTTAACTCGACAGTAAGACCGTCACTTCAGTCACTAATTGTTTATATGTGTTTGCTTTCTTCGTACTTGCCAATTACGAATTACTAGTATTTTATTATAATAAACTTTCATTTCAACTTACATTTGTTTTTGCTGTACTGGTTATATGGCACGACAAAGTAGAAACTAGTGTTAAAGTCGGAAGATTATGTATTTTGTTGGAAGTCCTTCTGTATGCCTTCTTTGAAACATGGTCTTATTATTGTTCATACCAAACAACACAATCCGTATGTGAGCTATCCGTGTTTTATCTATTGTAAGTTATATATACTTATATAACAAGCACATCATTGATAGATGATATTCAGCTTCGTATGTATGTATGTAGTTTATGCTTAATGAGGGTCCATCCGCCCGTAAGGGCACAAAATGCAGCTTTTGCTGTCGAGTACAGACCCCGGACATAACACAAATCATGCCCTTTAAGAGTTAATTTTGAAGGATAAAGAGGTGAAAATTAACCTCATGCAATTTCCACGGAGTATTAGCAAAAGATATGAATTTTGAGCCAAAAAAGGTCATTGTACGGCGGTCAATGAGAACCTAAATGTACAGCAACCTATGACAATATGAAAGGGTAGCCCTGAATGGGCTGTTTGTGCCAGCAAAAGGCCTGCAGTTCAAGCCGTCTAACTGTGCTAGGGGCTTTAGTCAGGACATCGGCAGCTGGTCCGCAGTACAAGTTTCGATATTTAGTGCCGTCCCAAGTCTTCAAATCTTCTGCCGATGCCCTGTGTCCTCTCTACGACGTACACGTACCGATGGGAAGAAATAAGCGCGCTCTATGTATCGCCTCTTCTTAAAGTTTATACTCACAACAGTGCGTGCCTTTGCCTATTGCATTATTGTAGCTACACAAAAGAAGCATCGTACTCTATCTAAATACTGCAGGTAATGGCCATTCAGAATCATTGTTTCTTGTTACTTGTCGAGTGTTTACTTCTAAATTCCTTTTATTTATCATTTTCAGTCATGAATTAACTCTATAAAACCAAGTAATCTATTGTCTCCATTTGTTAATTGATTCAACGAAAATCTTCGTAACTCGTTATCTGAAGTATGCCCTGTCTTATATCTATAAATATTTCATCTTTACTTTGTTGAAATAGTGATTGCACACTATTAGATAAGATATGATGGTTTTATGACTTCTTAACGGCCAATGAAGCAGTGTATAGAATAGCAAGACGGCAATAAATGAATACATGAATAAACAATCTAAACCAAACGATTAGACTCGAAAAAAGGAAAAATACACAGCGAAAAAATAAATTAATGTAAAATATGAATGAATGTATTCTGACAATCATAATATTTAAGTGTGTGCTGTTAAAATAGAGGATAGAACCCTCTACATTAGTAAGTTAACTGTGTCTTTACTTAAAATTCTCAACGTTTATTGTCGTTGTTTATTTTTTCTGGCGAGCGAAAATACCTTAGCAGAAAAAAACTAAGAACGCACATAGAGCAGACATATCACCATCAACGTGTTATTTGCATTTAATCATTTTTTCCCATTTTTTATTATGTATTTTATCTAAAATAATAGATATACTTACATTCATCTATGTACACATAAAGTCGCAAGCATATTATAGATTTTAATATACTACATGTTGTATGATTAAAACATAAAATCATGCTTCATTATCGTAACAAATTATTTGTAATAACGAAAATCATCAAGGTGACGATGAAGTAAATTATCTGCAAGTGTTATTGTGGTGTATTATGAGCCCTAACACACTTGTAGAAATTGTTGGTAAAAATTGAAATACGTTAATATAAATTTAGGTTACATTTTAAACCAGTTTCATGTACTGGTGAGTTTTAGTTTCTCTTAAGCTATTTGCATTTGAGTTAATCATCAATGACTAATTGCATTTGATAAAATGTGCACATTATACAATTAATTACAAATGTACCACTTCTGCCAATATGAGTGCATGTTTTATACTCCAACGAAAACTGAACTGTTCTTTTTTAATCTAACATTGTGCAGCTTTGCAATTAACTTAAAAAACATAAGTATATTTGGCCAAGTTACGTCAACAATACTCACAGTATACTGTCACAAATACTGTCACAGTTTACAGGACAGCAGTGGGGCACCACCTAGAAAATTCAAATAAGCGAAAGTGTCAAATCTTTAAGTGCAATGTTCGTCTCCTATTAGGTTATCTGTCTTAAATCAAAATGTGAAACTAATATCAAACTAATAATTCACACACCATTGACTAGGGTGGGGCTGAAATGAAAACGATGTAACATTTTGATTCGTTTTTACTTTTGGGACAAGATCAACGTAATGATAATGTTTAGCACTCATCGTAAGTGGTGGAATGCGCTGAAGCATTTAGAGAAATGATTATTATTTTTGAGTATAGCTTACAATAAAGCACTGACGTCTGTGTCGGGAATTCTGGACATTTGTACAGAAGTGAGGACGTCCGGTTCCTAGGTGAGTATATATACACACATCATGGTGTCATTGTATGTCCAGATTAATTAAGATAATTTCTAGATAGAAACTGTCACTGAGTACCAAAGAAAATGTTTTTGATAAAGGTAAATATCTTTTCTTAATATCTAACTTTATTATGCATTAATGTAATTAAGATATTTCTCGGTTTATGATTGTATTTGTTAATATTTTTAAATAGTTTATGTTTCTTTTTTTATTTCAGTGGTCTTTGATTATCATTGCGTTTGGAATGTCTCAAGAAACAGCTATATTTGCATGTAGAGAGCCTGATAATCTACACCTTGAGGTTGCCAATGCCCTTCTCGGCCTTTATACAGACGATGGATTTAGAAACTTTTCACTTAATACAATACCATGCTTGAAATCAAATGACATTATTAGGAATATCCCCGAACACTATGACAACAGGGAACAAAGCCATATACCTACCGGCACATGTGTTATTCCTGAAAATGGAGGAAATGTCATAACTGACAGTGAGCGTAATCATGGGGAAATGTGTCCCTGGAATTATGTTATAGATTTTGACGAGAATAGATACCCTAAAAGACTGGCAAAAGCCGTGTGTCAGTGCGAGCATTGTCATAGGGGATCGTGTCGCCCTATACATTCATATATTCCAATTTTAAGGAAAGAGTGTGATTTGTATTCTGGTCAATATGTGTTTAACAAGTATATAGAAGAAGTGCCTGTTGGTTGTCGATGTATTCGTGCAAGGAGGGCAGTTCAAGGAAACGTGTTCAGACATCGTTTATTCAGAATGATGGAGTAAATAAAAGAACTTAAAATTAGGAATACAATTTACGAATTCGAGATTACACATTTATAGATTCTAGTCAATCATGCCATGATGTATGTATGTTTTGATTTTACTGATAAGTTTCTCGCATTAATTATAATACATGTATACACTTATACTGTCTAGAATTATTTAATTTTAATTTATTTATTGAATAAAATTATACATATACGATATGGTTATATCTATATTACAGTTGTTAGATTCATGAACTAAAACAGTCAAAAACATAAATGCTCGTAATTTTTATACTACGTTGTTCTAAAGTATTCGAACAATGTTAATCTACAAACACGTATTTATTTTCTCATAACTTGTTTATAAGACGGTTAAAAGACACTAGAATAAATTAAGTTGTCAAACGCGTCAATATTAAAAATGATTGGATGTATTTAATCTGGTCATAGTCAGAAATGGTCAATCCTGGCCACCACAAATCAATATGTATCTTAACACCACCAATTTAGAAAGCCCACATATCCTTTAAATCTGACTTTACTGCTCACTGTTATTATTTCTAGTTGAAAATAACAATGTACAGTTCACACTTCTAGGCGCCATTATAATAACAAGGAATTATATATTATGTATCACTTAATTTGGCTTTTGTTTTCTTCAAATTAACATCTAATATATAGCACGCTTTAATTTGTTACTGTTAACAAGATTCTCTAAAATAAGACCAAATTGAATGAAAATTTATTTTTAAATAAGCTTATACCACTGGCTCAGAAGGCTTGAACTACCAGTGTATCATATTTATCAATAAGTGGCTGTTTAGGTCCTTGATTAAGCTTGTAACACGATGCCAACGAAAGTAATGTGGGACCGGTTCGCTTGCCATCGGTAGAACCCTGGTAGGCTTGCACATTCATATAGTATGTCCAGGCTTTATACTTTTGGTAGACATATTTTGTATTTTGATATTGAAATCCTTTAAATTTCGCATGAAACGGTTTAAAGTTAAAAGATGGACAAATCCATTATACAGAGCAGACTAGCAGGTCATGGTCAGGCATCCGGCATTGATCGACGCCATGTCTCTTGTTGAATATATAAAACAAATTATTTCGAACTGGGGTCTTTCTTGGTGTATGGGGTTGTCTATTTGTTTTAATAAAGTAATAGTTTAAATAGAGACAATAAGAATCCCTAAAGAAAGCCCAACACGGCAAAATTGAAAATGTTCCGGACTACATCCACGCCCCCTAGCACCGGCTGAAGCAGAATTCAACATTTATCACATACTGGTACAATTTGGACTTTTGAAACATCCGCAGATGTGTTCATATGGCGGTTATCCTGGAACCTTCAATGTGACACGTAAGTGCCATTCCATGAAAAGCGGCATGTGGTCCCCAAGTAAAAAAATGCGTGTGCCCTAAACGAGAAAACAATGGGCGGAACTACATGTAAATAAAATGGAATTGCGAAAGGGGATCAGAGGATATGAAGCCTGCATATCACAGATAAGACGTCAAAAGACAAATTTAAAAAGCAGGCCACATATCCTAAGGGTGATTCAACAGTATAAAGTTTGGTGCATGCTTCTTATAACTGGTTTATTATCGTGATTGTTGTTTACTTATCTTTGACCAGGTTATTAGTAATATGTTTCATAAATATGATAAGTACCATCATTCGAGTAAATAAAGAGATGTTATATAACAATAATACAATCAATGAAATTATCTGCTGAATAATAACTACAAATGCAATATGTTAGGTCCTTGGTTGAGGCATTGCGGTTCACAAACACGGTACAATTGAAAACGTTAAGATAAAGCATGTTATTGGACGGATGACCGTGCTTTATTTAAATTACCATTAATATTGTCCCTACTTTGTCATTGACCTAGACAACATTGTTAGTGGAGTATACGTGATACAATTTCGATGAAACAAAGATTCACAAATCTGTCTAAAGGTATCTACACAAACAGCCGACACTTTATTTGAGATATGTAAATCAGTGTGAATTAAAAGTAATATAATAGTGTACGACTGTATTAAGCGAAGTGTCAAGTATTTTGGATAACATCTATATATTGACATCTCCTTTACAAAGTGAGAGCAATATTTGTATGTTTTTTTATCAAAGTTATCAATAATGTAGATAAACTATGAACTTGTCAATGAACGCATAACTATTATCATGTGGGCGTCGGTGGATAAACGCTATTAAATTACTACAGTTTGGTTTTGTAAAGATTTTAAAGATTAGGTATGATTTATATACCGTTCTTGAAGCTACTTTTCAATGCACTCATCCGTCAAGCTTGTGTACAAATGTGAATATATAATATCACAAATAACATTTCCTGTTGTGATAAATCATTCTAGTTTTAGAAAGCAAACTATTAAAATAATATTGTAAATTCACTTGTATTTGTACTACAACAGACATTTTTCGTTGAATTAATAAAAACATAGACAATTTCTTCTGTTGAGTATTTATTTTGGACTAGCAAAAATGAAAACAAGTTTTTATCCTGTTTAAACAATACGTCCTTCACTAACGACATCAATTTATTGCGAACTATAATTTGTAATACATGTATACATCTATTTCTTGCAATAACTGTACATTTATGATTAAGTTGCTTTGTATTTTGAACATACATTGTAATTTTCGTGAATCAAGTCATAAATGAAGTAAATGTTATCAATTGTTCTCCTTTCAAGTGACTGAATAATTGATATTTCGATAATTGAGTATATTCACTTTTTTGCTAAAACAATAATGTATTTATGAACACTAGACCTAAAATTACATAAAAATATGAGAACATGAATCAAAAATATCAATAAAGATATTGCAATAGATACTGGAGACAAAATGCGACTGACTAGAACATTGTGTAAAATATCTTACATATTTCATATGATGACTTAATTTAGAAAAAAAATATAACATAACACTTTTATAACATAACAATTTTATAGCATGCTTTAGTAAAATATTATATCCTAAATAATGTTCTATTAAATTAACAGTCCAGCCAACTTTTTTCCATTTTCGTTGTTGTAAAATGTTTCTGTAAACATTTGTTTAATTTAAAATAATACTCTTAAATGATACTTGGCCGTTTACATGTGCATCCAACCGGAACGGTTTCAATGTCGATGAAATATTGAAAGTATTTCGGAATTGGACTAGGACCGTTACTTTGACAACTCCATTTGACGACTGGAATGAATGAATTAACACTTGTGCATCTATCACGTGTTTTGCCAGTCCGATCTGTAGTAAAACAACGGTTACAGGAGCATTTTGCTTTAGCAATTGTTTGTGGTACTCGTTGAGCATTAAAGTCCATCACAGTATACCATGGACATGTCGATTGTACCTCAATATCTGAATCAGATGTAACCTTTATGTTTTCTTTACAGCTTCTCTTTCCGTGAATTTGACTTTGTCTGGTTGTCGCATCAAGAAGGTTTCTTGGAAAATTATGTCTTGTTATTTTACGGTATTCGTCTATTACATTGTATGTCCAGTCACCAAGAATGTAGTTACGAAACACTTGGTTTTTGAGCCGATTGATCTGTTGATTTGCGTCAGATGGATGTACGCATTGGCTCGTTGATTGAATAAAGTGTTCGCACATCAAGACCAGTGTTAATATCTGAAAGAAAAGAAAGCCATAAATATTTTAAAGTAAATATAAGCAGTTGTACAGTAACTGTTATTTTCTCGTTTGACTTTTGGTATCTATATGACCAAATGATATCTCGTTGCAATACTATGTCATTTCATTTGTATTCGTATATTTGTATACTTATGTTTTTTTAGTTAAAAATGTATGATAAAAATCATTTACAGAAAATTCAGAACGTAGATTAAGTATCAAAATTGACGTATGCTTCTATGATATAATTTGTTTATTCTATGCCACTTATGAGCCAGTAACTTGTTTTGAATAAATATATATTTTTTTCTGTATGTCAGCAAATGTTTAATGTGTTTCGTATCAATGCAGGTTTAAAGTTTTACGTTTTGTCAGTCTTATGCAAATGAGAACTTTACGGGAATGAGAGTAGTCTGTGTGATTTAAACAGAAAAACTGTTCTTTATATACTTTCAACAATACTTATAAAAGAGTTTTGCTGTAATTTTAGTTATTCCTTGCATTATATCTCATTGTGTTATATTCTGGTTGGTATAAAATCTCACAGACACTGGAAAGGTACTGTGACCTTTTAGCTTTATTGATGATGGAAGACCACAATAGTCCTTCCGTGCACTCCGTTAGGCAGAGAAAGACATTTGCAACATATTCTACCAAATGTGCACATAATTATTCATCAAGAAAGAAAAAAATAAGAAAAGAAAAAATCCCAAATACTCTCAAAGGTACTTACAGTCGGCGAAAATATTTTCATATTTTTTATTTAGGTTGTATAAAATATTTTTGACGATAAGTTAATCTGTAAAGTTAACACTTTAATGTATTCCCTAGAATAAAACATGTTTTATATAGGATTAAAGGAGAATAACATACAGGTGTTTCCTAACTCAACAGGAAAAGATTTATCAACAAATCCTGAACATTAGTAAATGTTTGTTCATTAATTCGTCGGCGAACTTTTACAGTTATAATTTATTTCCTCTACATATTTAACGTAATTTACTTGATTTGAATGTATTTAATGATTTAACCTATCCAAATATTCACTAATTTTGCCATGCCAATTACAATATAACCTTGAAGTCAAACTGTATTAACGCAAAGGCGTTGTGAACTGTAATTGTAGTAATAAAGGGTAAGGAAATTGTACTCCTGTTGCAATAATTCCTTTTCTTGTATTCATATGTAATATATAAATTAAATTTTGTTGAAATTTAACATCCGATGGGAATTGTTCAAAAATTCCCTTTTTGTCAATTTCACTACAAAATATGGCACAGATGTTGTAAGAATATCCAATAAATAAGCCAGCAACAAAAGGCACACAAAGAATAATTGATATTAATCCAAAATAGATAAGATACGTTCTTACAGATTTAAAATAAACTAATCACATCGGCATAATAGTATTTACATATTCAAAGGTAAAAGCTATATATCAATATTGCAAAATTGTATTACGTATAGAAATGTGTAGCTGTCATCATCGCGTTTATATGAATAGAAAAAAAAAACAATCAAGACAGAACGACGTTGCCAGATCGAAACTCCCGATAAAACCAAGTCACATATGACCACCGAAAAGGCATCCAGTGGTGCATACTTTAGGACAAAGTACAGAATTTAAGTACAACAGACGTTAAATCAAATGATATATTTGAACAAAATTATAAGACGTAACACAATGCACTTACAAGTACTAGTTTTACTTTTCCTAATTTGCTTTCAATGATGATAAGATATGGACTTGTGTAAAAAAACAAAAACACCCCTCTCCTTAAAATAAGAGTAAACAAGTAGTTTTTGTTTGTTTGTTTGTTTGTTTGTTTGTTTGTTTCATTTTACGCCTTTTCCCAACAGTATTTCAGTCATATAGGCGGGTAGTTTCCTAACCATCGTTCACCAGTACTAGACTACCTTCCTCCATGCTAAACTACCAAAGCATATCCCGGGGATCGAACCCAAGCCAGAGAGGTAACTGGATTAGAAGTCATCCACTCTAACCCCTCGATCACGGAGGCGGTAAACAAGTAGTAAATTCCCATTTAAAACACACAGTCTATGTTGCAGTTTTAGCTGATAAATGAAATAGTTGAAAGAGCAAGGTTGCTATGTACTCTTAGGAGGAAATCCAAGCTTGAAATTATATTTGTCTCTTTTCATGGATAAGGGTTACTTCATCAATTTAATTGAGTTTGCCAGAAATTAATATATCTAAATATATGCATTTAAACAATAAAATATAAAGGGATCTCTGCTGAGTTTTTTTTATATGACGGAACAAGAAATAAGTTTTCATATTCATGACACGAAAATGAAAAGCAATAGATAGTTCAAGCTCATTTCATGCCAATAATCGGTCAAAATATAGTTTTAACAATAAAATAATCGATACATATTTTTGCTATCATTTGAATATATGTCGGTTAAGCTTCATGTTTTACCTTTGAAATATTTTAATTTGCCACGTTTTAGGCTTTTGGACCCCAGCGAAGCTCCCTGAAGCTGTATGTCTCCAGATAAGCCAAATATTTCAAGAAAACCAAACTTGTACTAAGATTTTAAGATAAGTAAAAAAAACACTCAAGATTCAAGTTATAATTTACATGATATGTGATGTATTTGACTGATATTGCAATATTAATCACCATATCTCTAACGCAGTAAGGGCTATTTTGCTTGGTAATTTACGTAGATTGTAAGCGCCGTTTGCAATACAAAGATTGCCTTCTTTCTTCACTTTACAATGTTTTACTTTAAGATACATTTTAATTTTTTTATATAAAAATAAAATGGACATGGAGGAATGTTTATATTTCCATGATCTTATCAAATGTTGATATTGTTACTGTCGCCATCATATTTAAGGCGATGAACATGTTTTTGCTCATATCCTGAATAAATAAATTGAATTGAATTATTTGTAGATGATTCATAGGTTAGTTTAGGAAAATGTAATTGTTAGCATATTTCCGTTGGTAAATATAAGAGAAATCTCCCGTTAACAATAACTTAATGTTTTGTTTGTGACAACGCAACTATCCTTTCAGCGTTGAAATAATGGTATGCAGAAACTGTGTTTAAACAGTAATTATTTTTTCTTAACCACAAATTATGTTTTTTGGGGGTATTTTTATTATAATTTGACGAATGTAAATGGAAAGGCACATTGTTTATAAAGTTTGTAAAATGTTTTAATGAAAATTAAATATATAACGTTGGACATATTTGATTTGGCATGCCTTAAATAAAAAAAAATTCTATAGGTTTTTTCCCCTCACCCAGTGGTTAAACTTGCTGAACGCCCATAAGACATATATTTTATTTATATTAGAATATCTGTTTGATTACATACGGAAAAGGTGTTTAATACTAAATCATTAACTTCCTGTTACGTTGAAACGTTATACAAATATTTACATTCATGCAGGAATAGGTAAATTTACTTTTAATTCGTATATAAACTGATCATTGCATATATAGTAACTATTTTACATCTGACGTAAATAAGTTAATATTTAAACCCCCTACGCTTTTTATTCTTTTTTACGAGAACAGACTCTTACTTCTTTCGTCGGAAAAAGTATTTAAAGTTTAAAAGACATTCTAATATTATCAGGTTTAAAATAAAGCTTTCATGCAACTTTAATAAATAGTTAATGATAATTCAATATTTGTTAGAGCTGATAATAATGTTCTCAAAAAATGTAAGACAACGAATGTCATTTGTACTTAAAATGTTTTATTTACTATGTATCATAAGAATGGTTGTATTATGTGATAAATTCTATTATACAATACTGTTGTTAAGTTTATCAAAGTAAAGAAAGTTAATCAAATCTACGTCACAATAGTTTACAGAGGTCCCCGTTCCATAATCACAAGCATTTATGTTACAAATACACAATTCACATGATGATGTTTGAGAAGTCAAAGACAGTGTGCTTGTAAAAGCTTCATATCAAAGTTAGAATAAACTCTACATTGCAGAATTAAGGAAGAATTTAACAGAGTACATGTAAACACATTAAATGCAGTGTGATGTAAAATAAGAAGTTTTTTGTCAGAAATCCAACATGGTCATAAGGCAACATTTCTTTATAAAAATATTTTAAAATGCATATTACCTAGTCGCTAAAACGTTTTTAATGGCACTAACGGTAAATACAGTAAGTGGGTTAAGGATAGGTTTATTTTGAAATATACGTTTATTGTTGGATGGTAAGGGGGTTATTGGGAAAAAAATTATAAGTAAACACTATATAGTCTGATATTATAGATCTGTCAATTATGAATACAATATAGCACTAATTTAAATATTCAATTCCATTTCGGGTCTGTCCGTATAGATTACAAGAATTAATATGGAGTAAATGACTAATGACACATTATCTGAATGTTTAGGATCTGGTCATATCCTCAATAACACAGTCGGTTGAGTGATTAACTAATATATTAGAGGTCTATGGTTCTGCCATACTTTTGCCATTTTTTCTTGACCCATTCTTTCTTTGTTTTTGAAGTATGTTTTAATGGAAAATGCTTGCAAAATAAATGGTCTTCACGGATATGGAACAACTTAAAACCCTGAATTGTCTGTTTTGTATTGCATTTTATGGCATTGAAATGACATTTATTGATTATAATTTTAATTCTTAAACCATGCTATCAAAAAGTGTATGGCCCTTGCAAAAATAAGTGCTAAATATGTTTTATATTAAAAAAAGAGAACAACCAAAAAAAAATCATACTTCAATAATGTTGAAAAGATAAATAAGGAAAAAAAACGTAGACATACACGGTCTCGATCTTTCAACACGTGGGACATTTAGAAGTTATAAACGTTGACCTATTGCGATATAACAGTCAGTATAATTATTTCATTTTATTACCCCTCACTTTTTGTTTAATGTTCATTTCCCATGGGCCACTGAGAGTTATTTATACTGTTAATGCAAGTGTACCATGTGACTTAGAAATTTATACTGTTACAGGGTAACAGTATTTTAACAGTTTAAAATCTGGTCACATGGTCTATTTTCTAAAGAAAATGAAATAAAATCATCACAGTAATTGCTCGGGGTAATAAAATAAATAACACATGGGTTTTTGAGTAACAGTAAAAATATCATCCCTCGTAAAAATATGGTTACCCTCGGCGTAACAGTATTTTCCTCGGGATAATATTTTTACTGTTACCCACAAACCCATGTGTTATGTATAAACTAACAAATTGAATTTAATCAAATCCAACTGCGTACATCTCACGAAGTTTACCGATCATTTACACGGTGCATATCCATATCGGTACCCTCTTTGCGAAATCTGCTCAAACGGTACCCTCTTTGCACATGCACAGGTCATTCTCTGCTAAAACCAAACCAGCGATAGATAACAATCCAGTAAAATTTCATTGTAATAAGGAAAGGAGGTATGACACGTGGAAAAGATGTATACCACGGAACACAAGAATGTTTTATTCATGTGCTGATTTGTCATGTACCCGTTTTTCAAGTACTGCAACTTTACAATAAGCTACAGAAAATCGACATGTCCTGACTCGCCCATCACCTCGACATATTTTTCGGGCTGAAATGAACCTGTGGGTTGATTATATATGCAACATACATATTTCATATGTTCATTTACATATCATTTTCGGACACATGATTCATAAAAGCACCCTACTTTCGGTTTTGCAGCTCTCTGTTTTTGAATTTTTTATATCACAGGTACCCTCTCATTTTTTAACACATGTACCATCAAAGCACGACACACGCTTTTATTTGCGTTAATCGTTAAGTATGTAATATTTCGTTTAAAATATACTATACTGTAATGATACGGAGTTCTGTTATTCACAAAATTTTAATGTAAATAAAAGAACACAGCTTTTACTTAAACTTATGATGCTTAATCTTAGAACTGGTCAGTGGCAGGAATCGCCTGTCTTAAATAAGAAATGCCTATTCAAGCATTCATAGAATTATACTGCATGTAAAAGTCAAGGTAAACGAATCAGATTAAACTGAAATATCATTAATTTACAGAGTATGCAGCTTGAACCAATTTGTACCATGTTATAACATTTAACTAACTAGTTAGTGTTCATGTTTAATGGCACAAAATACAAAAGTTCATATAGAGACTAGTCTTGCAGCTTTTGGGTGAGTGGAAGAAAATAATATGCCCCTCTTTCAGTATTTCAGAAAAATCAACAGACAATTGCCAGCTTGCTGTGTAGCTTACTAACATAAAAGAATTCGATCCACTCAGGATTCGAACCAATGTGAGCTTCTTTCAATCAAAATGCAGCAATATAAATACATACCACGATGACCCACATAAATCACCGTAGTTATAGGAAATATTTTATACTTTTCAGATATACGTGATCGTGTGATGTATACTTAGTATGTTATAGAACGGTAATTTTGGTGTCCTGTTTAAAAAGGTTACTCATTGGCCTATAACCTAATCAAAATTCTGCTTCAGTCTGTTGCTTTTGTCAATCAGTAAAGTTAAACATTGTAGTAATTTAGTATTTTGTATGGAAGTAAAAACATTACAGTGTTACATGTTGCTCCTATTATGACAAATAACTTAACATTTAGCATTATTTTCCGTCACCTCGGACATAAGAAAAAAATTAGATTCGTACTGTGCTGCTTTTTAAGTTTCATCAATATATACTTCCGCTCGTGATAGATTTTATATAATGTATTTGCACTTGTTTATTTATTCATTTGTTTATTATTTATTCATTTGTTTATTTATTCATTTATCTTCTGTATTCATTTATTCATTGACGTATATTTGCGGTCGAATTCCGACTACCTGTATTATAAAGTCTTGTACCATCTTTCGCGTTTCTTGCTTCTTTACGTCCTGTTCTAGGACGGGTACCCGGTATAAAAAAAACATTGAATCGAAAGAGACTTATTATCCATTCAAACTCCCGTGACTCAAAAACATGAATATGCATAATTGTATTGATGACTTGCAGAACCGAACATAAGACTATTCAAGAGGATAATTTCATCAAGTAGAGTTTACTAATTTGTTCACACATATACTATATTTATTTCTATAAGTTAAAACTGCTCAAATCAGGTTGGTACGTTTATTATAGTGGCAAATTGTTAATGCATATATTTTTTTTTCCATTTTACCTCATTAAGTCATTTTGTAAGTTTCTTTGTTTTTTAGGTTAAGCGATTCTTTCTTCAGTTAAAATACATGAATAATATCGCTTATCATATTAATAAATATCTCAGAATTTCTAAAACCCACATTTACTTACTATGTTACCATTAAGCCAACAAGATAGACCTTCAGGGGAGGACCCTAGATAATGTTGGTATAACTTTTGGTCCAACCCTTTTATATGTACATTATATTCATGCTTAATATATTGATGTTAGATTGTGTAAATTAATCATGTACAAAATATGCAATAAAATATTATTAAACTAAATAGCAAAGAGGCGACCCGTTTCGCTGCAAAACCAAAAGTATGATGTTTTTTTTAATTTTACATTTATTTTTTAATAATAACTGTTATTTTCTTGAAGATTATGTATAAATGAACATATGTAGTATGTATGATGCATATAAAATAAAGCCTCTGGTTCATTTCAGTCCGAAAATAATGTCGAGGTGATGGGCGAGGCAGGACATGTCCATTTTATGTAGCTTATTTTGAGGTTGCAATAATTGAAAATGGCACACTACAATAAACGCTCAAAGATAATACATTCTAGTGTTCCGTGGTATACATATTTTCCACATGACATACCTCCTTGTGTCAGTTGAAGGAACATTAGCTGGAATGTTATCCATCGCTGGTTTGTTTTTAGCACATGAGCAGAGAGGGTACCATTTGAGTAGATTTCGCAAAGAGGGTACCGATATGGATATGTACTGTGATTTATTGAAGATTAATACATTGTGTGCATTGACCGTGTAATCAATATGCAATTGACAGGTCAATAAAATCAAACAATATCTTTAGTGAAAATAGAATATAAATAAACATTAGTAATTTATTTAAAGAAACTATTGTACAATCTTTATTTTATGACAATAGCTATAAATTAATGGCAAAACATGTATATAATGTGTGTGTTTAAGTATAAAGACGATATTTTTATGGTAATGCCCGTTCCTGGCAAATTCTTTGACATTCTCTTTTGAGCCATATATTTTAACTTTTAGTCTTCAATTTTCATATTATATTGTTGATTTCTGTACTTCCGAGGAATCACCCCATTTCCATTTTTTCTGTTCATATTTCTGCAGTTGTAAATAGTATGTATGTGATATCAACCTATTTTAAATGGTCTTTGACAAGTACATCCTACCGGAACGGCTTCATAGTCAAGATAATACTGAAAGTAATACGGTTTATTTCCGGTATAATTGTTTGGACACCTCCATTTAATTACGGGAATAAAGGAATTTATTTCTCTACACATATCACGAGATTTACCTCCCCTGTCTACAGTAAAACAACGTTTACACGAACATTTTGCTTTTGAAATAACTTGTGGTTCTCTCTGAGAATCAAAATCTATAACATAATACCATGGACATGTTGACAGTGTTTGAATATCAGAATCAGGTGTAATTATCCTATTTTTCCTACAGCTTTTCTCTCCGGAATAATCCCTTTGCCGTACTAGGACGTCAATAAGATTACTCGGTCTTTCAGGTCTAGTATTTTTCCGGTATTCGTCCATTATTTTTAAAGTCCAGCCATTACTTATATATTCATGAAAAGCGTCTCTTTTCAGTTGTTGCTTTTGCTGTTCAGCATTTGGATGATGTATACATTGAGCAGTTGTTTGCTGTACAATCATCATTTGTGCGCTTAATATCTGAAATAAAAACTAAATATTGTAACATAATTCTTATTAGTGATACCTTAAAACTTAAAAAAGGGTATAGATAATAGAGAGCAACGGTCAAAGGCCTCAGCTCCAAACAACGCCAAAGTACACATGACAACTGAAAAGGCACCAAGTGGGGCATTAGGCAGAAACGGGACACAAAAATACATAATTTTATCATACATGTTCCAGAGTAACTGAACTTATTTAACCAAAGATATGTTGATCTATTAAAAAAATAGAATAACAACAAAAAAGCAACAAATATACAATCAAAATCAACTAGTCAACTAAGTTTGAGTTATGTTTTTATATAATATGTCATCTAAGCAAATTACAAACAAAATGATATCAGAAATTGCACTGACTACTTACTATAATAATGTAACATTTCATGTTGGCTGGTTCGAATTCCTGACTTACATAAAATAATGAACATGAGAGAAGTCTTGCATTATATAAGATATTTGTAAGTTTTGGATTTCCCCATGCAAAAGGAAGGGAGATTTTGGTCAGTTTCAAAAGCAATCGCAAAGATATGATTTGATCTGCTTTGTCCTCGTGTAGTTTGATTTCCGTCTCTTAATATCTTCAAAATACTGTAAATGATTTATTGCCAAATATATTCCGGTGATGATGAAAAGAGTTTAATTCTATATTAAGAACTCCTGGTGATTTTTATGACGTGTAAGTGTTTAAGCTTGAAACGCGCTATTTTCTTATCGTCGTTAATAACCTCTTAATAAGCCTCAATTGGATGTGTCAATAGTTTTATAATGACATAATCGGTCCCATTTATACGATCAATTGAACAGGGTAAATCTCAGCTATGAATGTTTAATAACACCGCATGTTCTGTTATTGATATCGATCGATTTATAAATAAGACTGTTTAAAAGTGTGTCGTTTTGCAATTTCAAAAAAAAAAAGATGCACCGGAAACAAATGGTGCAATAAACGAAAGATAGAACAGGAGAGAGTAGAGAGAGGGCGAATCAATCTTTAATAACAATTAACAAACAAGTTGAAACAACCTTAAAAGATGTCCAAAAACCCTTACTCAGAAACGAATAATTTTGCTTTATTTAGAAATAGCAAACATGGGTTTCATAACGTGTAAACATGTTAAATGTTTTTCAGTGCTGAACTTATTTGTCATAAAAGTAGCAAATCTTAACAAAGCACTATTTTGACTTCCATAGAAAATATTAAATCACTATAACTGTTCTAATTTCCAAAAAAGGTTGGAAAAACGATGGTTCTGGCAATTGGCCAATGGTAACTTTTTTGGAAACTGAAACAGGACAACAAAATAAAAAATATTTTGAGAAATAAAAATATCAAACATTTCTGAGACATAATTAGTTTTTAACAAGACAGTTATAGCGTGCTATGAATTAAAGGTATAGGTAAAAATGTGAACGATGTATTCATTCAATAAGATTTTAGGTCATACGTATAATCTCTAAAAGGCTTTTATCATGTTAATGATGCGCAAAGCAAGCCTAAATATATTTAAGAGACGTGCCAAGTTTACTGGTAATTTATTTTATATAATACCAGGAAAGAGGCAAGCTGACTTGACACGACCATTGTTTGGTCTTTTAGAAATTTGCAAATGACCTCAGTACAAGTTTGTGTCGGAATGGCAATACGGAAACTGTTTATAGATGAACTTAAAACTTAATAGAAATCATTGTTCTATAAAAAAAATCAACATCTATTATTTATTTAATGGCTGTATAACAATTGAAATGTTTTCGTTTACATTCCAATACATTGAAGTAGAATTCTTTTTTATTCTGGTATTAATATATCTTATTTCTATTGAACAATCTTGTTGCTTTGTAAGAAGTCAGTTTGTTTGATTTGAGTCAAGTTGACACTGGAATGGTTATTTGGCAATCTACAAGTTTATTTAATGGGAAATACCATCAAACTAGATTTGTTGTTGAATTGGTACATGTATACATGTATTTTAACACGTCGTTTTTATTAAAACAAACATATACAAATAGCTATGACAAACTTACGTAAAAGCTTTTATGGTATATAGATTATACACTGTAAAATTTCGTAAGTAACTTAAATACTCCTAGGAAGATTAACTTTAGTACATTCAATTTATAAAAAAAGAAACTCTTCCTTTTTTCTATGTTGATTCACCTTCTAATACGTCTGCAGTCTTACCTAAACAAATACTATTGTAAGTCCAAGCTTTGCGTTCAAGACTGAAATATCTATCTTGGTTTGAATGAAAGTAACTTTTATTGATGTCAAAATCAAAATGGACTTTTTATCATTTCTCCGTTCCTTTTAGAATCATAACATTATATAGATATGCTCCTGATCAATGAATGTCCTGTCACCTTTTTTTTGTTAAAGGAAAGGTGCTGTAATGGTCAGATGAAAAATATAGTCAATATCTAAAATACATTTTGAACAATATTGTAGTTGGCTGTAAATTTTTGCCAATAGTTTTCATTTATTTCTTTTTTTATATCAGTAAAATCAATATACAGTCATACAATTAAATTGCTCCTGCGTGACTCTGTCAGTAATTTAAGTGGGCCCACTTCAGTCAGGGCATGAGAGATAGATATTGCACTTCTACATTACAGACTCAGTTAAACCGAATTTGCAATTTTCATTTAATTTGAGTGCGTTCATTGCTTTCGAGGGATCTATTCCTTTTTCAGATATATTAGTATCATGTTCTCATCGCCAATTAATTCAATTTAATTCTAAACCGGCTAGAACTGAAAGTGAGTGGGGGTTTATCACTACCAACCTGCCGTGCAGTCTGACTTATTTTGGTTTCTTTTTTTTTGTGTGTGTGTATTTCTTTGTATTATGATACTGCAAATTTCTTATAAGAGATGTACTTATACTCGTACTTGTAAATTTTTATAGATTGTTTCAAATTCAAAACAAGGCAAAACCATTACACAAATGCATCACGTTAAGTGATCGACCCGTACATAATTTTTAACAAATACGTATTCTATAGTTACACCGATTTTCTTCATTTCTTAAAGTTGGTTTATTCTCATTCACTATGACATCCGGGTAGATGTTTCTTTCTTTACAGAATAAAACTATTATAAATTTGGATAATTGGATGATATTCCTTCAATGTATTAAGTTATTAAATTTGTTACATTTGACTTTTTTTAGATGGTTTTAGATATCTTACTCGTGTAAAGGACACCCATATGCAACATCCTAAAAGTTGTTTTTTCAGTACCGTATCTTCTCCTCATAGAAAAATGGCATATTCCTTCTTTTCTGACTGAGTAAAATATCAAAACATGAAGGTAAAAAATTGAAAATTTTAGTGAAATTTGTTGATGTGTTACAATGTACTTATATCAAATAATTGCGAAGCATATACACTTTATTTTATATTAACATTGAAATTTTCTAGGATAATTTTGTGCATGCGTCTTTTTCATTATTATTATTATTATTATTATTATTTCTACTACTTTATTATCATCATCAATATCATCATCATCATCATCATTATTATTATTATTATTATTATTATTATTATTATGCAGAAATACGTGATAACTAGCATGCCATATTAGATTCTATTTCGTCTAGCTCGTTTATCTGGTGTATTATTAAACACAAATCAAACCTCCTTATATTGTATGATTCATGTTTTCCTTAGATTTCCTAATGCAACAGGAAGAAGATTTAGAAAGTGTCAAAACAATCACGTGGCAATGATTTGTCCCGTTGTTTCATCATAATTCTACGCGTTGATTGCTTAAAACTTGTAAAATACTATAAATAAATTACAATCTTGGACGAAATCAAAGCAATTATTTGTTTAGCATTCTTTTCGGAATTTTATAAGACAGATTTTTATGACATATATGACCTAAAGTGTTGAACTTTAACTTTTTAATGTATTGTTAAGTCTCAAGTTCAAGTGACAATATTGACAAATAAAACTAGTGTGGCTTTTGAATGAAATAATTTCCTCTATGAATGGTTATTGAAGTTTTCCACTGACATTCATATTTTGGTTTGTACCTGACTTGACAATAAGAGAATATAATCATATTTACGCATGTTCTTTCACGTTTGTAACTGTATGTTTCTACTGCCAATAAACTCGATTCAATTGTTGTTTCGTTTAATTAGTTAATTAGTTATGGATTTGAAAAGATTGATTGTTATAATTTCTTATTGACCAACATTTGTTTTATATAAAAATGGATAAGATGTACTATTAAAACTGCCTTAGATATTAAAAACTGTCCTACTTTTTTCAATTGAACATTAAACATACATTTTGAAGATATTTATAGATTTGTCCAATATGGTAAAATGTTTTTCTTTACCTGTGCTGTTACCATTTACATGCACGAGGATAGGCATAATGTCACTTTAATATTCATTAAATGAATTAAAGAGAGCATTTTCTCCAGTGTGTATTGACGTTTTGTCAGCACTCTCTATGCCAAATGAGTTCGTAGTATATAATATAGTGTTTAAAAAGATGCATATTTCTATACATATCTAGGAATATAATTGAGTGTAGGGTGATAATCTTGTGGCAGGCTAAAAAAAATTAGTTTATTGGAAATTATTTGTAGGTCACGTAATTATACTTTCTTTTGTATAACAAAATTGCTGGAGAATGGGATCACTCAAGAGCATTAACAAAAACAATACTTGTAACTCGGTTTTATTGAGTTATTCTTATTTTAATATAAATGATGTAAATGGTATATTTAAATATATGATAATAATTGTTTTGTACACCTTTACATTGATATTCTTTTGTCAACTAATGTAAGATGCTGAATAGACTTTCAGGTGATTAAATGTTTATAAACACTGTTGTTATTTGTACAGTGGTCGTGGATTGCTGGATTTTGTCGGGGGCTTCGTTCTGTAAACGTCGTTCTGCCTAGTCAACCTTGGTGAGGAATGTTCAAAGTTTCAGAAAGACTACAAATATATTATTTTCAACACGTGCGGATACCTCGGTTCTACAGACACCAGTTTGGAGCCTTGGAGCCACTGGCATTCGACACGAAACAAAGAGCTTGATAACAGGAATGGCGCCAAAGGCCAGAATTTGAATTAATGATAATAAATTAACTATAAACTGTATGAGTCAGTATTTTAAAAGTACCATAAATAATACTATTAATTCTTATAGCATCAATAGAAAATTTTTCCCTTTATCGTATAAAAGCGTATGCCTTCTAAAGCAATTTGTTACCTATTTTTAAACCATTTTCCTTTAATTTACATGTACTTACGATTCATCACATTACTATTTTAATTGACTTTATTTCGTAAGCATTGTCCTTAATACGTTTTTATTAAAATACCTTTTCAAACTATGTTGTTAAATATCACTTAATAGGTTGTTCATATCTTGTATGATTATATTTTTACAAGCTTTTTAATCTAAAAGTTGTCTGGTACATTCGCTTAACATAAATAAAGTTGGATTGTTTAGATTTAATAAATCTTATTATTCTTGCTTTAAAAAATGGTTTGAAGTGCGGAGCTGTGATTAATTCCGTTTTGTCCTCGTGTAGTTAACTTTCGACCACTAAAGATCTCCTCCTCACAACCTTTAACTGTAGACATGTACGAAGATGAAATAAACCTATGAGATGTAAATGATATACATAGTTATATGTATGATGTGAACGAGTGCTATGTTAAGTTATAAAATGTAATATTCATCAAGAATTGGTCTGATAACATCATAATATCATTCCGTAAGATTTGTGATAATAAATGTTAACTTTAAATGACATCTAAAACGTGAATGAATACGAATGTCTATCTATTATTCTTTGCTATTACATTTTTCGTTTATGATCTCATCACAGTTTATAATTACATGTTCTTATTTCAAATTAATTATGTATAATTTGAAAAAAAACTGAATGACAGTAACTGGTGAAAGGAACTGATTACAGAAAAATACCTTAATAATTTGACAAATAAAATGTTTTGTCCAAACATCCTGTTTGATATAATATAATGTAAGTTTTTGTAGGATTATGTGGTTAATATCCAAGTCTATGGATCTGACTAATTAATGTGAAATTTACCGAGGCCGTTAGAAAGTTCAACTATTTCAATTCTAAAGAAATTAATTTTCAACCGAAACTCTTCCTTTCTTATCATGGTTCATTGATATATTTTGTAACACATTTCATGTATATTGAAATAAAGTATATTCATTTGTTGAAATATTTAAGCTGTATTTTTTATTCAGAGACAGTTAAAACTATCTTTCGCAACCAGGCCTTTTATGTCCGTTTGTTTCATTAATTGGCGGCTGTTCTGATACTTCCCTTATTTCAGCATTTTTGATTGATGCATCGTTTAGAGGAGTATCAAATCATATTTAAATACGGCAAATAGGGCTTATTAGTTCTGAACATATTTAAGACTCTATGTGTTACAATGAATGTACTTTGGCTTTAAAACTTATTCAACCCATAGTTTTTCAGTTTATTTATTTCATTTCCTTTAAGGCTTTTGGCCCAATGAAGAAAATATAGACATATATAAATACAAATATATATGACATCACAGTGCAATACATGATAATGAAATAAACTATTCAATATATACTACTAACTTAATACAATGTAGTAAACATATCTACAGTACTGCAGAAAGTTGAAAACCAAACCTCAGTTACACAATACAGGTTTTGAAATAAGTGTATTTTCATGTAAAAGTTGACATAATTACATGTATATTCTGTCTAATCAACGTAAGAACTAATTTACGTATCCAATTACCTTTTCAGACTTGCTGTCATTACTATAAAGTGGAGTTGGCAATAATGATGCTAATTACTCTGTAAAATATGACCAATAAACAAACTTAATAAACGAACAAGTTAAATGTGGGAATGAATATATCAAATTTTTCAGATATCATGACTGTTAATCGTGAATGATAAAAATGTATATTAGAAAAATTGCATATAATATGTTCAGTACTGTAACTGTTACATAAAAGTCAAACTTTACAAACTGCCGGAAACAACTTTTACACATTGTTAGATCTGTTGAATGGATTGATTCTATTATTTCCTGCCCGCCATATCATCTCATAGGGATATAAATTTACCCTGGGACTGGCCTCGTTAAGTCGAGTCATCTGAAAATGTCAAAAAGAAATAAAGGAATAAAGTTATAGACAGATATAATGTTTGTACATTATTAATGATTGAAACAAGCGAGAGAATCACTGCAGCACTTTATGGCGATGGTCATTTGGATTAATACCAATGTTCCGAGCTATTTTATCACAATTGACACGTGATATATCACGTGCACGTTGCAGAAAAGTTTTGGTACAACTGCAACAGGCCGAAAAATGCATGTGTTAAACAAATATGTTTAATGTGCAAATAGTAATATAAACCATGAGAACGATCAATGCTACTACTAATAATAATTTAAACCTAGGAATGTTTCTCAAGTTGTAAATGACGATTCAAACTGAGTATTGCCATTCAAATTTATAATTTCATTCACTTTTATATAAGTTGTATGTAAATCTGAAAACAGACACCACAATATGAATTGAAAAATTGTTTGAGGAAGATAAGTCAATTCTAATTATAAAACATTGTAATGCCTAAATTGATTATATTATAATGGTCCAAATAAAAACAATATTGACAATTGCATTATTATATATTTAGGAACATAAATGTACTTATACAACATGTTTACCTCCTCGTCCGACAGTTCCCATCCTGTACTTGCACCCATGTTATCTTCAAGTTGTTTTAAAGACGTGGCTCCAATAATAACCGAGCAAACGACATCTTTCTGTAGAAGCCAGCGGAGTGATACTTGAGGGACCGTTTTACCTAAAATTTTAAATTTTATATCTTCAAAATTTTTGATCAGAGGAGACCTCTCTCGATGCAATATCAATTAAATTGGAAAAAAATGTTATTGGCATATTTACAGTTAATTGTTTGACTCTGATAATGGGAACCAAAATTTGTTCCACGTCCCAAGGTCCCTTAGACCTCGCTAGGGCTGATCATTCAAGCCAATTCACAAAACTAAACACCTTCTGTTACTAGTATGAAAAGGCAATACAAAAATAAAGATTTGTGCATACACATTTCAAATAAAAGTGTTCATGATTAGTATAAAAAAATCTTAGTTCCAGCAAAAGCAATGTTCTATATACAACACTAAACTAAACTGTTGGAATCAATTATCCTTTAGATAAAAAGAAATATATAACAGCAAAATCAAGAATATTTGGCGACCTTTCACCATGTTTACCATACAGAAACCAACAACGACGAAAACAAAATCAGTAAGTGAAAATTATAAAGTCGCTTTGTTTTCGTATTTTAGTTACAGACAATGAACTTTGTAAGATTCCTCTTGCTATTTTACACCGATTAACATAAACAATCTACAACAATTGATTTCTTAGAACAAATGCTCTGAAGGACAAAAATTATAAAAAAAACAGTGGGATGAAGTACTGTGCAAGTTTCCATCTATTACACATTTCAATAACACTACAATTGTTTGACGAAGCAAATATTCAAGCTTCATTTTCTCTTCATGTATTTGAATTTATTCATACTCGCTACGGGTTACCCATTTCGGCGGGTCATCCAGAAGGGTATTAGTCATTTTAGATTTTAGAGTATAGTTCAAGATCCTGATACATAAAGATGCCCCAATTCCAGAAGATTCTCCTGGTTCTTTAACGTGCCTAGTGTTTAAGTACTTATACACGGGACATTGACTTTAAGTCTCAATCGAAAGACTGTTTTGGTAATTTTAGTTGGCCAGCCTTGAATTGAATCTGAAATTACAAGTTACACGCTCTAACCAACTGAGCTATGCGGGCTGAGCTTTTTTTTTTCTCCTCATATATTGTGTTGTACCTGAATATGTTGCTCTCTTCTACCAACACTATCTCAAGCTTTGCACTTACCATGATTCGTAGCAATATCTTTCATGGCGTCCATTAGCTTCCAGTAATTATCGTCATCGTTATATTGACTCCATGCTGGCGCAGCTTGCATTGCTTTAGACTCGTCTTGGTGAACAAATCCAATTCTACTTCCCTTTGCGTCTGGTGTTTTGTTTCTCTCAAATTTCCCGGTTAAAAGCCCACTGTAATTGGAAACGGTTCAGGTTTTTCATCATTTTTACTTTTGCAAAGGGTAATAGTTAATAAACTTAAAACAGGCAAACGCGTTTTTGATATTGTCAAATAATTGTCAACTATAGGTAATGAGAAATGATATAATCAGGTAATTTATTACTGTAACAAACGCTTTATATATACCCTTTCAAAGGACTCCATGGCAATACCCCAATGCCTTCATTTGCACACACCATAAACTCTTCGAATTCAGATTGACGTGCAAGCAAATTGTATTGTTGCTGAAATAAGATTTAACATACACGGTTTTTTTATTCTATCTAAGTATTCGCATTTTTAATAAAAGCAATCTCAAAATTTAATGACAAAGACTATGAATCTCAAGGGGGATAATTTGGAACATAGCAATGACGTTGTTCAATGTATATGTACTAAATGCAATACAGATATTCCTCATGAAAATAAATTACAGTTTTGCCAGACGTGTTAATGTAAGCTTGTTTGTTTGGATTATGTAAATAACGTATCGTTGTTGCGTATCTCCTAAACTATGATGCATGCCTGAATGTTAATTACCTGAAGAGCCCATAAAGGTATTCAATAAGTGTATAGAATTGCGTTACCGAAATCAGTCGCTTTAATATAACAGCCATTTAGCATTCATTTTATTGCTGTTTGCATGCCCTTGAAATAGTTTTAAAAGTTATCGGTGGTTTTCGATGCATTTATGCATTGTTTATCGAAATGGCCTGATATATTATTTTGATCCGTTGTTTTGTTGATTTGTTCGGCATAAATTATGTTGGGGTGGGGAAAAGGCGTTTCATTCCTTGTGTTTATTTATACTATATAGGGGATATATTTTGGATATTATCATTATTATTGATAGCATTTCAAGTTCCTGTGAATAGATTCAAGTTATACAAAAATAATGATGCTCTTTTAATATAAATGAAATTGTTTATTCAGACTACCTGAAGTGATACACATGAATTAAGTCCCATCATCTCAATTTTATCCACTATTTTCTGTAGTTGCCATCCGCAGACGTTACTGACACCAAAGTATCGTATTTTCCCGCATCTCACGAGATCGTCAAATGTCCTCAGCGTCTCTTCTATCGGAGTGGCATTATCCCAAGCATGTGACTGTAATATAACAATATTTATTTTACAAAATAAAACAAGTAATCCGTGATAGACATATACCGATGGAATATTTTAAATATATGACCAAATGATTATTTACTAAACTACTTTGAAAATGTCAGATAGAGGACAAGGTGGAACAATTAAAGAACGTTTCGAGGCGATTTTCTTAATCAAGCATGTATTGATGATATGCATGTATAAAATCAATCAAAATTCTACAACACTGGACCAAGTTACAGTACCTGTAACAGGTCGATATAATTAGTTTGAAGTCTTTCCAAACTTTCTTCACAACTTTCAATAATATGTCGTCGGCTCAAACCAACTTTGTTTATATTTGAACGATCAACATGGAAACGACATTTCGTTGCTAGTACAATGCTGCTCCGATCTTTTCTGAAACATATTAAATATTATAAAAGCAAGATGTCATTTGTGTTAAGTTTCTTTTCTAATCGTGGCCGCTACTTCATTTATAAATTTATATTATTTTAAAATGTTGATTACAAAATATATCATTGACGAAATGACATGATTATAAACTATCCAATCGTTCTTACTTCTTAAGCCAGTTGCCAACAACCCGCTCCGACGCACCAAGACCATAAACATTAGCGGTGTCTAGGAAATTACCTCCTAGTTCAAAATATCTGTCCATCAACTTGTGTGACATTTCCTCATTCAGTTGTGTTGGAATGGGCATAACCTACAATATGAATATATATGAAAATAAAAAGAATTTAATTGGAATTATCAATATTAACTTCAGACTTGTATTGTATTGTATTGTAATGTAGGGGTAGGGGTATTTATGGGTGTGTGTGTGGGGGGGGGGGGTATACTGGCCACGTGTATTTCGACAATAATTCCTGCGTTTTACTTTCACAGACATAACTTCTCGAGAAGTGATTTTATATGTTAAATTCCTATGTTACTCCATATAGGACAACTATCTCTGTCATAAAGATTTCAAGTAATAAACTATATAAAGTTAACCTTGAAAGTTATAAATAGTTTTGTAATTACTCATTTACTTGCATGTGTTTATTATATGTGTTTGAATTTTATTGAAATTAGAAAAGTAAACAAATAAAAATAACAGTGAAAAACAAAAGAACAAACATAAATCTTGAAAGCTTTATCTGCATGTGGAGGGAAGTAACTCATAATGATTTATGACAGAAAATACACGAAACGCAACGTAGCAAAAAAATGCATAGTCAGTATGATAAAGATCTATAAATAGCAAAGTATCAGTTGTGATTATTTATCGTACTTTCAATTTGTCATGCTTGCACTCAATACAGATATATTCATATAACCATTTCTCTAGCTAATTGATAACTTTTCAGTGGGGTCAATTAATTGAGATCTTTTAGTTAAGAATGTTCAATAAATAAGCAGAGCAATGTTATACTGCATGAGATAATAATTTTCCATTCGATGCATTTACTTTCTATATGAAAAATAAAACCAATTCAACGAATGTTTTAATTTGCGATGTGATTGTGCTAACATCTGGTTCAAAGTTTCCTTCAAGTCATTAATAACAAAAATAAGAAACAAGACACTTACCCCGTCGCCAAATGTCATGGTACCCAAACATATGTTCGAGACTTGGACCCCCGACCTGCCGAGATAGTTGTATGCTACTTTTGCAGTTGTCATTTTTTGCTGATCACGTTATATCAATTAAGATATAAAGTTAGTATGCATATAACCATCCGCACAATAACAATATCTGTGAATTCACGTATAACTTGTGTTAATAGATAAATCTAAATGTAATATTATAGCATATAAATGTGTACAGTATATGTTCATAAGAAAAGTTCAAAAACTAGCACGTCTGATAATAAATATAAATATCTGCGTTGACGTCGAATAACCGGTTATATTTAGATATATGTCCCGATTGTAAAACGAGACTTTTTAGTTTTATCATATTTTATTGCTATATACATGTATATACAATACAGATACAAATTTCATATGTATTTTAAACAGCAAAAGCAAACGGGTTGGGCCCAAGTTCTTACAACATTAGCGGTCGGCCCTCCCCGGTAAATAATGAAACGAAAAAACTATATTCAATACTTAATGGCATATAACATAAACATAGTGTATATCATGTATAATTGCTGATGGAATGAATCGTAAGAAACGATTTTTAACAATATACAATAAAGTAATCGAACAGATAGAAATCAACGTTCGTGTATTTTATAAATTTATAAATATGGATGATCTAAGGATTCAGTATAACCTACCCCCCACCCCCACCCCTAAGTGTCACGGGTTTCGTTAAGGCTGTTATGTGCATTTACTTTATATTGGGTACAGGGTATTTGTAATTACTTCTTATATAATATTCTAAGTACATTTATAACTGATTACAATAAAGGTTTAATGTTTAGGTATAAGTGAATCGATTTGTATTTTTAATAAATTTATGGACAGCAGTAAATAGATGCTAGGCTATCACTACCAAGTAACAGTAGATTTGTATTCAGTGGGTGGAACGTCCTAGTTTCTGTAAAGAGTGTTATTCTTTGCGTTTGATAACTCGGGCATTTAAAGAAAAAATGTTCAGCATTCTCAGCTGCATTTCCGCAATGACATGTGGGATTTTCACTAAGATGATTTCTAACGAAGTCACCATTTAGGTCGCTGCAATTGTTTCTTATACGTGAGTGTAAAACGAGACTTAAATACTACGATAACATTGAGACGCATGTTCGTTTTAAATTTAACTTGGGTTTAAAATAAACCAATGATAATTGAACGTGTGGCCTGGTTTTGTTGCTTATCATGCTTATTTAAAAAACGCTTTATTATTTTGTTTATTAGTTTGAAGATAATAGATGTAATTACGATTCGTGAATGTTGTAATATTTCCTTCTGCAAGATTCCTTTCATAATGATGCTAGCTAGATCTAAAAGACCTTTTATCTATACCAATTAGTATAAATGTTTTTATACATATTTATACATTTTTATGTATATATTTCAGTCAATTACATTTTTATCTTTATTTTTAAGAATGTAAGTTTTTTTGTTGTTTGTTTTTTAAACCACGAAGATACTGCTTCGGTTATATAGTGATCTTTCGATTTAACTTGTAAGAGATGACCGAATGTGACCGAAGTTTATAATTGTACTTGGTCAACGTTTACATAGCTGATCTAAATGTACTTTAAATTAATAGTATCGTGATAACCCGAAATCACTCTCGCTTTCTTCCGGCAGGTTTTGGATACCTATTTTTAGTATATCTTGAAGGTGTTTTCCACTGTGACATCATTATTTGAAAATATTTCAATATGTTGTTATTCAAGAATGTTAGCTCTTTAGTGTCCGTAATCCTGTAATAATATGTATAATACGCAGGTATTGTGCAAAACAATTACTTGTATTTCAATTTGAAACTCTTCCTGATAGACAGGAGCACACCTTCTGTTAAGTTTAAGAAGGCCCGAGCGTTCGTTTGTTTGAAATTGAAAATGAGTAACCGTAATGGCTTGCAGTTGAATTTATGTTTATTTTCTGTTGAAAACTGTGTTATTTCATTTATATATGAAGCAAAATAATATATGTTAGGTTAGAAATGGTATTAAACCTGTCAAAAGCACGGTTTCTAAAAAATGTACATGGCGGTTAAATGAATAAATAGAGGATATTGAATTTGTAGGTTCAATAAATTAAGAAATGAGCCGCGTCACGACAAAACCAACACAATGGGTTTGCGATCAGCATGGATCCAGACCAGCCTGCGCATCCGCGCAATCTGATCAGGATCGATGCTGTTCGCTATCAGTTCCTCTACTTGTTATAGTGTTGATAAGCGAACAGCATGGGTCCTGATCAGACTACGCGGATGCGCAGGCTGGTCTGGATCCATGCTGGTCGCAAACGCACTATGTTGGTTTTGTCGTGACGCGGCTCAAATGAGGCGTTTTACGAATACAGTATAGTGAATGTACTTATTATCGCATACTAACATTAGAATACCGTACAGTTAAAAAATAATAGAATAATATTGTGTGCCATAATTATGTTGCGGTTCGGATCGGATCGCACATGCCACACATTTTATTTTGCATATTCTACCATACTATCAAATTTTATATACTTTTCCAAAATAAAACAATTTTTTCATGGAAATTAAAGGCACTTTATGCCTCAGTAATGAATGAAATGTTCCACTTTTACAAAGGGCACATGGGTTTTAAAATATTTGGGTAATGGTTTTAGGGCATGTTAGATGCTTATCAACTGAAGAAAGTGAGGTTATTAGTCAAGAAGTAGCAAAATGTAAACAATGTAGTGTTTTGACTTCCATGCAAACACCATATCACTAGAATTGTACGAATTGACAAAGGCATCAGCAGCAAAGGATGTTGTATGTACTTGGACATTGAGTAAAACTAAGGACACTAACAGGACACCAAAATAATAAACTTTAGTAAAAATAAATTAAAAGCGTTTTGGGGGCATAATGGGCCTTTAATGTCATTTCATCTACAATAGCGTATGAATTTACATTTTTATTCATAACGGCTTAATGTCGTAATTCTAAGAACGCAGTTACTGTCTTAAATGCGCCTAAATGACATCGTTTTAACGTGGTTAATTCATATAATGCACCTCTATGGCAGATAAAATTTACGGCATGGGTATAACTAACGGAAACACTGGTCTGGTATGCAATAATTTATTTTCATCGACGTTCTTTAAATATATCGAGGGGTGAAAGCGAAAGAAGTCTAAGTGCATATCTGTATATTTTTCAGGAGAGACAAAAAACTGTCCTGTTTTTTTCAGGTTATATATATAATTATCATTTGTGTACTCTCAAATAAAAATCAGTTATATTGTACATTTAAAAAAAATTACTTGAAAAAAAAATGAAAGAAAAAGGTTATATTTGTAAAAATGTACTTAGACTTTTTTCGCACTCAATATTTGTCAAAATATCACAAATCTGGTAAATGCGAAAAAAGTCTAAGTGACGGAAAACAGGAAATAAACACCCTATTTAGACAGAAATGCTCAATATAGAATAAGTTTTATCATAACTTACTATTCTGAATATAGAATTGGAAAGAAAATAATATAAATTTTAAAACAAGATTGCATTTGAGAAAAATGCTATGCCACCGCATTAATACAACACTAAATAGTAGTGTAGGAACAGATATTTTTTGTTTCTATACAATTGAAGATTGTCATAATGCATAGATCCCTGACCTATCTAATTCTTATCATCAGATTAGTGGTTGAATCTATTGTTAATCCAATAAAAGATCAGAGTAGGAATATATCAATGCACTTGAATCTGGTGAATTTGGTGGTGAAGGTCATATTTTCACACAGCCTAAATTTCATGACTACATCAAAGGACAACACAGTAAGACACTTTGTTAAAATCTAAATCCAGCTAATATCAAAGTTCACTTTACATCTTAATCTGTGCACATGGTTCAAATTTCATAGCTGTACATCAAAGGACAAGAAAGTAGGTCACATCATCAAAATCTAGATCACCTGATATCAAAGTTCAATTTTACAACTTAAACTGTGCACATGGTCAAAATTTCATTGCTGTACATCAAAGGATAAGAAAGTAGGTCACTTTCCCCTTGGGCAAGGCAAAATTTTGACCCAAGGGTTTAATTCAAAACAATCTTGATACAGGTCCACCAAACAACATTTCAAGTCAAATATCTAAGCTGTAGCTTTCTCCCATTCAGAAAACATTTGTTTTATTTTCTGTTTTTACTATGTGTACATAATGAGAATCACTGCCCCCGGGCAGGGCCAATTTTGACACCAAGGGAAAAATTTGAACAACTTTGGTAGAGGACCTATAGATGATATTATATAGCAAAGATCAAAGCTCTATGCCTTGTTCCTTCAGACAAAAATATTTTTTTTTTTTTTACTATATGTACATAATGAAAATCAATGACCCCCGGGGTGGAACCAATTTTGACCCAAGGGCTATAATTTGAACAATCTTGGTAGAGGTTCACTTCGCAAAGTCTAATTCCATATATTTAACCTCTAGCCTTTGTCAATTCAGAGAAGAAGTTTTTCAAGTGTTTACTTTATACATATAAGGAAAACTATCGCCTCTGGGGCAGGGCAATTTTAACACTAGGGGCATAATTAAAACAACTTTAGTAGAGGACCCATGATATAACATACCAAATATAAAATCTCTAAGCCTTGTACCTTCAGACAATAAGTTTGTTTTTTTTACTATATGTACATAGTGAAAATCAATGACCCCTGGGGGTGGGGCCAATTTTTACCCCAGGGCTATAATTTGTACAATCTTGCTAGAGGTTCACTACACAATGTTTCATGCAAAATATCTAACCTCTAGCATTTGTCAATTGCTAGAATTTTTTTAAAGTTTTAACTACAAGTTTTTACTATATACATATAAGGAAAACCAATGACCCCCGGGGCGGGGCCGATTTTGACCCCAGGGCTATCATTTGAACAATCTGGGTAGAAGTCTACCAGACAATGCCTTATGCAAAATATCTAAGCTCTAGGCCTTTTGGGTCTTTACAAGAAGGTATTTTAAGTTTTTACTATATGTACATATAGTGAAAATCAATGACCCCCGGGGTGGGGCCGATTTTGACCCCAGGGCTATCATTTGAACAATCTTGGTAAGGGTCTACAAGACAATGCCTTATGCAAAATATCAAAGCTCTAGGACTTTTGGGTCTTTACAAGAAGGTATTTTAAGTTTTTACTATATGTACATATAGTGAAAATCAATGACCCCCGGGGCGGGGCCGATTTTGACCCCAGGACTATAATTTGAACAATCTTG